TGAGTTCAGTAACTGTAGATCTCAAAAATCAAAGTATAAAAGATTGTGTAATTCACATCTCCTTTCTTTCAGTATAATCATAATCATCATTACTCAAACATTTATCACAGTAAAAGGAGCAAGCATTGGATTGCAAAGTTCCAATTCTGATGGAGTTTAAGCTCAGCTATCGATCTAACATTAACCCTAGGTCCCTAACATAATCTGAATCAAGTTCCTCGTCAAGAATATTCAGGCAAAAGAGACCTGTCATAACCCTAAAACCCAGTCTTTTCCTTCCTACTCAAGAAGATATATTAAAGAATCAAAAGCATCTCCTAATTTGAATAACTGCACATCTCTTAACATATAATGCAAATATCCAAACAATGTTAAAAATAATGACAACGCATGTAATGTTAGCCTCTCTATAACGTAAAATGCAAAACAACGCAACACATAACGTAGGTTACATATTATCACAATTATCAAATATATCATGATTTTAATAAATAAAATCATCAGTTTCAATTCAAACATGGGTTTGATTCATACTCTATGTTCTGAGAAATATTTACCATCCAGAAAGAGGAAAAAACGAAGTCTTTGTCTAAAGAAATACATTGAGAAAGGGTGGATGGATAGAACCTTTCAACGAGATGGTGCTTTTTCAAATCTCTCAAAATGGAATTATATCATCACAGGAACACCAAAAGAAGTCATCATCAAGGCTTTGTAAACAATTGAAATGAAATACACAACTACTAAAAGTTCTAAACAAAGAAAATACTTTGCAGTCTCCTTGATAAATAACATTGAAATAACATAGTTATATTGAAAATAATGCATGTTATATTGAAATCACGTAAATTATATTGAAATAGTGCACAATTTAATGTTATAACTTAGATTTATGACGCGTCTGAGTTATTTCAAAGGGTTATGTAACATTTACGGTTTGTTACTTAACGCAAAATAATGAGTTAGGCAACAGGTTTTTTCAAAAATGGGTGTAAATAAGTGCAGGCAACAAAACAAAAGGCCAGCTAACAACCACCAAAGTGATTAGTCCTTAACATGTATAGCACTTGAAGCAATCAATAGACACTACCTTCAACTAAATCTCTCCATATATGCAAAACAAACACAAAGGAAATTAGCCTAATAGTAACAATATAAAAACTCCCTTTGAAAAGGAATGGAACATTATTAGGTGGTAGAAGTACTTACAGCTCGGGGTTGTCAGCTTGAGAGTGCGGAAGCAGATATCATAGAGGGCCTCATTATCGAGTACCATGCACTCATCTGCATTTTCCACAAGCTGGTGCACTGAAAGAGTAGCATTATAGGGCTCAACAACTGTATCAGAGACCTTTGGAGATGGGAAGACGGAGAAGGTGAGCATCATGCGATCGGGATACTCCTCTCTGATCTTCGATATCAACAATGTTCCCATGCCAGAGCCCGTTCCACCTCCCAAAGAGTGGCAGACTTGGAATCCTGCAGAGTAAAATCATCAACCAATATGGTGAAATTAATAAATGCATTTAGTAAATATATATTTGTTGATGAAAACACTGAAAATTAGAGAAGTGACAAACATATAGGTTGAGTTACGTGTACCGTATGACTAGCAACAATATAAAATTGAGCTGTCCATTTTTGGAATCAGAGGCCCCTGTGTCTAGGGGTGGAAATGAACCAAATAATTAACAAATAGTTCGATAATTGTTCGAATAACTATTCGATCATATTCGATTCGGTAGTTCATTTACCACTAAACAAATATTTTTTACTATTCGAGTTTACTAACGAATAGAATTTAACCAGATGTATATTCGATTTGTTTGTCTATTAAATATTCGTTTAAAATTTAATCACAACTTATTATTGGTATTATTGCACATATGATGTCATATTTTTAATTCACTTACCATTTCTATTTAACTTTTATATACTGATTTTAAGTCTTAAATAGTCTTAAATCTATTTTCTAATTAAAATTTTAATTTATATATATATACATCATATATTAAAAAGGAATACATTTTATTTATGAATTTTAATATTATTTGAAAATCAAATTTTTAGTAGAATAAATATACTCTAATATTCGATAAGTATTCGTGAATATTCATGAATATTTATCAAATACCAAGTATTCGAGTTCGAATTAGAAAAACTAGATATATGAATATTAGAGTCCGCATTCGAATTCGATAATTTTAAACAAATACAAATACGAATACCTTAGTATTCGATTCGATTCGATCGTTTACCACCCCTACCTGTGTCAGATCATTAATGTAAAGACCCATGAGATAATTAAAATCACATGACTTCATGAGATGACAATAAATCTCTAGGCGTTATAAACATTTACAAAAAATAACAAAGTTATTATTTAGCTTATCTGCAAAAACACGAAGAAAACATGTTTCCCCTAACTTAATACAGAACAAAACAATAGAGAACTAATAAAAACAGTTAACCATCTATAACAAGAATATAATAGCCGAACTCCGTAATAACCGACTCAGTAAATAAGTATAAACAAAAAACAAATACTGTAACCTTCCAACAAATATTTTGGAGAAACTGGTGATAAATGAATATAGCTGCAGATCTACATCCATTTCATTTTGATAACCAAACTGCAAGAATTTTATGTGTGATAAATGAATATAGCTGCAGATCTACATCCATTTCATTTTGATAACCAAACTGCAAGAATTTTATGTGTAGTATGGTGAGTCCACATATTTTACCGCATAATACAATCAACATAACCTTTCATTTTCTTTAAATTTCACTTACGATCTGAGCTTAAATTTTTCTTCATATACTTCCATACAGTAATAGGTGGTCAAGGAAAAAAATGAAATTAAAATAAGTATGAGAATTAAACATCCTAAATCTCTTTAAAATGACAAGAAAGAAAAGTGTCAAGCATCAGTTTACGAGATGCATAAAATGTATATGAATAAGTAATCAAAGAAGCAAGAGTTCCAAAGGAGAACATAAGAAAGAAATAGACATAGTATCTGATGGAATTTTATACAAGTCAATTATAGTGAAGTAATTAACTTGTGCAAATTTAAAAAAACATCAAGCACAATTCATGTATAATCTAAGCAATCTGCGACCAAACAACACAAAATCGAAACAAAAAAAAATCTCACCTTGCAAGCAATCACAGTTCTCTGCCTCTTTCCTCACAACATCGAGAACCGAATCAATCAACTCCGCTCCCTCAGTGTAATGCCCCTTGGCCCAGTTATTCCCAGCCCCGCTCTGCCCAAAAACGAAGTTATCGGGCCTAAAGATTTGACCGTAAGGCCCAGATCTGAGGCTGTCCATGGTCCCAGGCTCAAGATCCATGAGCACCGCCCTCGGCACGAAGCGTCCGCAGCTCGCCTCGTTGTAGTAGACATTGATGCGCTCCAGTTGCAGGTCGGTGTCGCCTTGGTATCGGCCGGTAGCGTCGATGCCGTGCTCGTCGCAGATGACCTCCCAGAACTTGGCACCGATCTGGTTGCCGCATTGGCCGCCCTGGATGTGGAGGATCTCTCGCATCTTGGTTAGGGTTTCGAGATTAGGGTTAGGGTTTGAGAGAGAGGGGGGTGGGGAGAAAAGGGTTTTTTTATATAATGGAGGAGGTGACGGTTCGCTTTGACGGCGACGGAAACGGCAGAGGGTGGAGGTTTTTGCTGACGGCCGTTTGGTTTGAATGGGGAATTTGGAGATTTTGAAGTAAACATTTTTGCAGGTCCTATATGTTTGTTTCGTAGTGCTCTTGCAATCAGGCCGGTCTGGATATTCTGATTAAACGTGGGGTCCTTGTGGTGGCAAACAGCTGGGCCTGGCCCAGATAATCGCTAGAAAGGAATGGGGCCCACCTTTTTGTGTTGTGGTCCTGTTACAACTTTCCTTTTTAACAAAGAGTAATTACACTAAAATCCCAAAAACTTGCAACATTTTGTAGTAATCCCCAGTTGCTTTCAACATTGCTCCAAACCCCCAATAACCGTTTGTGTTGCGCAAAACCCCCCCAATAAGTTTCTGTATTTTGCAAATAACCACGTAAATTAGAACGAAAAACCAACATAAAAAAGTCGTTTAGAAACTTATTTGATTTTTTTTAATTAGTGTAATTTAGCCGTAACAAAATTGGGGTTTCCTGCAAAAGTTATTGGGGGTTTAATGCGATTTCAAAGTTTCTTGTCATTTTACCCCAAATACTAAAAGGTCTAGGGGGTTTAGTGTAATTTACCCTATTAATTATTGTGATTTCAATATTAATTATTATGATTTCAATATTTTAATTCTCCTAACCAGGCAACCTAAATTAAAATTAAAGAACTTGCTTCTAAACAAAATTTCATGAAACAAACTTTGGGATAAAGATATCATGAAAGTTTTGCACTTTCTTATTTCAATAAAAAATCATAATTTTTTTAGAAACGTTTTTAACTTATATCATAATCTTTAATTAAAAATTCTCTCTAGATTATTGAGCACATGTATGGTAATGTGGTTGCTGCTGCTTGCTTATGTAGCACTCTTATTGGTGTCCTAATATTGTTATCAAATTTAGTTAAATATTTAGTAAAAAAAATTGCCCAAATAAATAGATAAGAGTGATGTAAAATCAAAAGGGTAATATTTGTCCATCTTTATAGCTTTTCCACCCAAAATCTGTCCCAGTTTTTTTTATCTAAACCATAAGTTGTTAGCAACCGAAGCTGGAGACAGGTCTAAATTTAATGATGCGGGACCATGAAGTAACATGGACGTCTGTTTCTTTTTGTTTGAATCATGCCAAACTCGGCTCCATTCATAAGCAAACTAGATTCTCTTATCTACCAAGTGACCTACCACAATAATTTCATTTTCCCAGGATTCAACTCTATGCAGATGAGAGATCCCAATTATCAAAACCATCAAATATCAAAGATACTGAGCAACCAAACATAGTACAGCCTTCCAGTCAGCGATCAGCATCAGGACAGAGAGCAAAGAGCTCGAACAACTTTCCAAATCTAATTCAGTAAGAGCATAAGAAACCAAAATATCGAATACATGATTCCAACCGAACTTTAACATAATAATTCCGGAGTCAATTCAGGAATATGAAGAAGTTAAAACCTCCACAAAGAAAAAAGCAACCCCATATTGCGCCCCAGAGAATTCAGCAGAAAGCAGAGCATATACAGCACATAACATCAAACATACAGAACATAGGATAAGAACACATAGTTCATGGCAGCTTAGAACAATGAGCAAAGCAAATCAAGCCTCCTCATACTCACCCACCACCTCTTCATCCTCATACTCCCCATCCTCATCCGCCGTCGCATCCTGATACTGCTGATACTCTGACACCAAATCATTCATGTTACTCTCTGCCTCCGTAAACTCCATCTCATCCATCCCCTCCCCCGTATACCAATGCAAGAAAGCCTTCCTCTTAAACATGGCAGTAAACTGCTCGCTCACCCTCCTAAACATCTCCTGTATCGACGTTGAGTTACCAATAAACGTCGACGCCATCTTCAGCCCAGTCGGTGGGATGTCACATACCGTGGACTTCACGTTGTGAGGAATCCACTCCACAAAGTAGGACGAGTTCTTGTTTTGGATGTTGATCATCTGCTCATCGACCTCTTTGGTGCTCATCTTGCCACGAAACATAGCGGAGGCGGTGAGGTATCGGCCATGGCGGGGGTCGGCGGCGCACATCATGTTCTTAGCGTCCCACATTTGTTGGGTGAGCTCGGGGACAGTGAGAGATCGGTACTGCTGGGACCCACGGGAGGTGAGGGGTGCAAAGCCGACCATGAAGAAGTGGAGTCGAGGGAAGGGGATGAGATTGACGGCAAGCTTGGTGAGGGGTGCAAAGCCGACCATGAAGAAGTGGAGTCGAGGGAAGGGGATGAGATTGACGGCAAGCTTGCGGAGGTCAGAGTTGAGCTGACCAGGGAATCGGAGGCAGCATGTAACTCCGCTCATGGTAGCCGAAATTAAGTGATTGAGATCGCCAACTGAATTCAGTAAAACATCAAGTTAGAAATCAAACCAGTTTCAGAACGAAAGAAAAGGCATCATTATCGCCAAGGTTAATGATTCTATTAAGATAGCTAGACAATTGAAGGGACATGTGTGTGCAATAGATAAACCATCTTAAACAAACTAACTAATTTTGGAGGATGAGGCATAGTTGAGCTCAGTAACAGTAGATCTCAAAAATCAAAGTATAAAAAAATTGTGTAGCATACATCTCCTTTCTTTCACTATAACCATAATCATCATTACTCAAACATTTATCACAGTAGAAGGAGCAAGCATTGGATTGCAAGGTTCCAATTCTAATGGAGTTTAAGCTCAGCTATCGATCTAACATTAACCCTAACATAATCTGAATCAAGTTCCTCATCAAGAATATTCAGGCAAAAGAGACCTGTCATAACCCTAAAACCTAGTCTTTCCCTTCCTACTCAAGAAGATATATTAAAGAATCAAAAGCATCTCCTACTTTGAATAACTGCACATCTCTTAACATATAATGCAAATGTCCAAACAATGTTGAAAATAATGACAACACATGAAACGTTAGCCTCTCGATAACGTAAAATGCAAAGCAATGTAATGCATAACATAGGTTACATATTATCACAATTATCAAATATATAGATTACATATTATCACAATTATCAAATATATCATGATTTTAATAAATAAAATCATCAGTTTCAATTCAAACATGGGTTTGATTCACACTCTATGTTATGAGAAATATTTACCATCCAGAAAGAGGAAAAAACGAAGTCTTTTTCTAAGGGTGTGTTTGGATTTCAATGGCGTTAAGGGAAGTTAAGGGAAACTAAGTGAGAGAAGGGAAGGGAAGGGAAGGGAGTTCCCTTCCCCTTGGTTACACCCTAATTTGGGGGGGTAACAAATTTTATACTATTAAAGGGTGAACCAAGGGAAACTAGGGTGAATAACTTCACCTCCTAAATGTTCCCAAACAAGGTGAAATACACAACTATTCAAAGTTCTAAACAAAGAAAATTATTTGCAGTTTGCAGTTTGCAGTTTGCAATCTCCTTGATAAATAACATTGAATTAACATAGTTATATTGAAAATAATGCATGTTATATTGAAATAAAGTAAATTTTATTGAAACAGTGCACAATTTATTGTTATAACTTAGATTTATGACGCGTCTGAGTTATTTCAAGGGGTTATGTAACATTTACGGTTTGTTACTTAACGCAAAATAATGAGTTAGGCAACGGGTTTTTTCAATAATGGGTGTAAATAAGTGCATGCAACAAAACAAAAGGCCAACTAACAACCACCAAAGTGATTAGTCCTTAACATGTATAGCACTTGAAGCAATCAATAGAGACTACCTTCAACTAAATCTCTCCATATATAGAAAACAAACACAAAGGAAATTAGCCTAATAGTAACAATATAAAAACTCCCTTTGAAAAGGAATGGAACATTATTAGGTGGGAGAAGTACTTACAGCTCGGGGTTGTCAGCTTTAGAGTGCGGAAGCAGATATCATAGAGGGCCTCATTATCGAGTACCATGCACTCATCTGCATTTTCCACAAGCTGGTGCACTGAAAGAGTAGCATTATAGGGCTCAACAACTGTATCAGAGACTTTTGGAGATGGGAAGACGGAGAAGGTGAGCATCATGCGATCGGGATACTCCTCTCTGATCTTTGATATCAACAATGTTCCCATGCCAGAGCCCGTTCCACCTCCCAAAGAGTGGCAGACTTGGAATCCTGCAGAGTAAAATCATCAACCAATATGGTGAAATTAATAATGCATTTAGTAAATATATATATGTCGATGAAAACACTGAAAATTAGGGAACTGTCAAACATATAGGTTGAGTTACTTGTACCGTATGACTAGCAACAATATAAAATTGAGCTGTCCGTTTTTGGAATCAGAGGCCCTGTGTCAGATCATTAATGTAAAGACCCATGAGATAATTAAAATCACATGACTTCATGAGATGACAATAAATCTCTGGGTGTAATAAACATTTACGAAAAATAACAAAGTTATTATTTAGCTTATCTGCAAAAACACAAAGAAAACATGTTTCCCCAAACTTAATACAGAACAAAACAATAGAGAACTAATAAAAACAGTTAACCATCTATAACAAGAATATAATAGCCGAACTCCCTTATAACCGACTCAGTAAATAACTATAAACAGAAAAACAAAATACTGTAACCTTCCAACAAATATTTTGGAGAAACTCGTGATAAATGAATATAGCTGCAGATCTACATCCATTTCATTTTGATAACCAAACTGCAAGAATTTTATGTGTAGTATGGTGAGTCCACATATTTTACCGCATAATACAATCAACATAACCTTCCATTTTCTTTAAATTTCACTTATGGTCTGAGCTTAAATTTTCTTCATATACTTCCATACAGTAATAAGTGATCAAGGAAAAAAATGAAATTAAAATAAGTATGAGAATTAAACATCCTAAATCTCTTTAAAATGACAAGAAAGAAAAGTGTCAAGCATCAGTTTACGAGATGCATAAAATGTATATGAATAAGTAATCAAAGAAGCAAGAGTTCCAAAGGAGAACATAAGAAAGAAATAGACATAGTATCTGATGGAATTTTATACAAGTCGATTATAGTGAAGTAATTAACTTGTGCAAATTTAAAAAAAACATCAAGCACAATTCATGTATAATCTAAGCAATCTGCGACCAAACAACACAAAATCGAAACAAAAAAAAATCTCACCTTGCAAGCAATCACAGTTCTCTGCCTCTTTCCTCACAACATCGAGAACCGAATCAATCAACTCCGCTCCCTCAGTGTAATGCCCCTTGGCCCAGTTATTCCCAGCCCCGCTCTGCCCAAAAACGAAGTTATCGGGCCTAAAGATTTGACCGTAAGGCCCAGATCTGAGGCTGTCCATGGTCCCAGGCTCAAGATCCATGAGCACCGCCCTCGGCACGAAGCGGCCGCAGCTCGCCTCGTTGTAGTAGACATTGACGCGCTCCAGTTGCAGGTCGGTGTCGCCTTGGTATCGGCCGGTGGCGTCGATGCCGTGCTCGTCGCAGATGACCTCCCAGAACTTGGCACCGATCTGGTTGCCGCATTGGCCGCCCTGGATGTGGAGGATCTCTCGCATCTTGGTTAGGGTTTCGAGATTAGGGTTAGGGTTTGAGAGAGAGAGAAGGGGATGGGGAGATGAGGGTTTTTTTATACAACGGAGGAGGTGACGGTTCGCTTTGACGGCGACGGAAAGGGCAGAGGGTGGGGGTTTTTTGCTGACGGCCGTTTGGTTTGAATGGGGAATTTGGAGGTTTTGAAGTAGATATTTTTGCAGGGCCTCTCTGTTTGTTTCGTAGTCACTCTTGCAATCAGGCCGGTCTGGATGTTCTGATTTATACGTGGGGTCCTTCGGGTGGCAAGCAGCTGGGCCTGGCCCAGATAATCGCTACAAAGGAATGGGGCCCACGTTATTGTGTTATGGTCCTGTTACAACTTTCCTTTTTAACGAAGAGTAATTACACTTCCTACAAAAGTTACTACGGGTTTAACGCGATTTCGAAGTTTTCTCGTCATGGTACTCCAAACTACTAAAAGTTCTTGGGTGTTTAGTGTAATTTACCCTATTAATTATTACGATTTCAATATTAATTATTATGGTTTCAATATTATAATTCTCCTAACCAAGCAACCTAAATTAAAATTAAAGAACTTCCTTCTAATCTAAATTCCATGAAACAAATTTTGAGATAAAGATATCATGAAAGCTTTGCACTTTCTTATTTTAATAAAAAAATCGGAATTTTATTGAGAAACTTGTTTAACTTATCTCATAATCTTTAATTAAGAATTCTCTCTAGATTATTCAGCAGATGTATGTTAATGTAGAATTCAACTGATGAATTTTGCTACTACATGCTTCTGTAGCATTCTTATTGGTGTCCTGATATTGTTATCAAATTTAGTTAAATATATATATAGTAAAAAAAATTGCCCAAAAAATAGATAGAGTGATGTAAAATCAAAAGGGTAATATTTGTCCATTTTTATGGTTTTTTTCCCCCAAAATCTGTCCCATTTTTTTTATCTATACCATAAGTTGTCGGTGACAGGTCTAAATTCCTTATTGATGGGGGACCATGAAGTAACATGGACGTCTGTTTCTTTTTGTTTGAATCATGCCAAACTTGGCTCCATTCATAAGCAAACTAGATTCTCTTATCTACCAACTGCCCTACCATAATAATTTCATTTTCCCAGGATTCAACTCTATGTAGATGAGAGATCCCAATTATCCTAGAAAATAAAACTTCGTTACTGCATAGCAAATTATACTCCTCACTCTAATCATCAAACATCTCCCTTGTCAATATCTCATCTTTCTTAGTAATTACTTACTAGTATTATTCGTTTTCCTTTCTCTTTATTTTATTTTATTTTTTTGTTATTCATCATCATCATCATCATCATCATTATTATTATTATTATTTGCGGGTGCCACCCTTGCAATTTGATATTTCCAGCTCATAGTCACCTGTCACTAGTAAGTGAATTGACATAATACTAAACGACGAAACTCTGTTGAATGGATAAAATGATGAACAACTTGCTAAAAAACCCATGTGTTAGCATATTCTTCAACAAAAGGATCATGCACATGCAATGATCCAAATTTATGTTAATAATGGTGCTCAGGATAAAGTTTGGATTGCCTTCGTTTCTGTTTTTGATCCAAAGAACTCCCTCATTGGACAAAAAGTGTTCATGTTGGGGATCTTGACACATTTGCATGTGTGTGAGATTGGGAAGCTTTAGTTATGGAGAAGAAAACGCGCGTACGTGTGAGAAGAGGGCCAGATCTATTGCGCTGTTCATAATGTTTTATGGTGGATTTATCTTTCAATGAATGAAGATGCATTTCTTTCTGATCAGTATAGAACTTAATTGCTGGAAACTAGCTAGACATAGAGAGTTTCTAATTGTATATAATATTCCCTTTCACGATCAACAAAACTTTATTTGAAAAGATACCGACTTTAGAAAAGGTTTCGAGATTTTATAGTGATAGTTGAAAACTTTGGAATGAAGGATATGCAGAGCTGTTATCCGAAAATGCAGCAACTATAAGTGAAAACTTGATAATTTTCAGCCAGAACATCAAAGGCCCTCGACTAAATTAATGAGATGTAAGAAGTTGATATGTCATCTACATTATAAGATAAAATCTAGCCTGTGGACTTTCAAGTACATGTTCAAAAAAACATATCATGCATCTAGTGTATCTTCTATTCAAACGCCAATGCGAGTGCAATTCATAATCCTTCAATGTTTGAAACAAAGGGGGGAAGGATGCACACCCTCAAAATAAAAAAGAAAAAGAAATAAACCAGAAAAATACATGCTCTGACGTTGTTGACATGCCTTGAATAAACCACATGACACTGATAAATGCTAAATTGCTATCCTAATATCCTTCGATATGATAAAATACAGACAAAATTAAGCAAATAAGATCATGAAATAAAGACTGCATCCACAAAGCCAATTAGCTTTGTCGTCTTCTTGTGCTTCATATGGCTCGTTCTTTTACGATGTCCATGCTCATCTCGCTTGGATCAGTTGCCTGCAACTCAACTTGTATCCCATCAAGTTCTCTCTTGAACCTATCCTTGGAACTGGCATACACCATCTTACTCCTCACCTTTGATGTGTCCGGAGACCTGTGCGCACGATGGCGTAAATATTTGGATTAATAGCTAATTCTGGTTGTTTCATGGTACGTACTCTATTGCACTCCTATTCATTCTTAGGAACTTGGGTTTTGTTCGCACAAGGGTTGTTTTCTATTTTAGAATGTACTTTTTAAAATTGTAACGTATAGGATTTGAAGTTGGATTAATCCGAAAATATATCTGGTTTATATTCAAAAGAGGGTTTTTTCCTCTCTATCTCTCTCTCTCTCTCCAGAAACTGGATGGGATCAAAGATAATAGGATTTTAAGTTTTAACATTTTGTTTCTAGAAGTCACCAACAAAGTGCCTTAGAACTAGTACTTCCAAAAAGACAAAGGCCTTTATCCTTTTTCAGTTGGCAGCATATCATGAGGAGATGGTAAATAATTTGGGTTTTTATGATGTTGGTTCCTTGATCTGAATTATTTTAGAATAATCCTCCAAAACAAGTACACTTTAAACTGGTCCCCTGAATCTCATAAGTTGTATAAAATAGGCGCCTCGCTTTAAAATCTGCTACCTTCAACCAAACAAGAAAATGGCGCCATGAGGATTCAGGAGTTTTAAGTGTAAAAAAAACAATTTAATTAGAATGTGCAAGTGTTTATGTGCAATTAGCTCTTAGATTTATAACAGCTTTCCTACATCAAAAACGTGAGCCTGACAAAAGCCAAAAAAATTCATAACTTGTGGAGAGGCCAATGAGAACAATATCATGGTAAAGATTTAGAAAACTTCACAGTAACTTACTGACCACGCAACAAAGATGATCTTGCTCTTCTGGCAGTTCTCGTCAGTGACAAAGTCGAAATCAAACACGGCATAGCGGCACTCATTAGGCGGCATGCACGCTGTAAAGTCATCGTATGTCTCTCCTGGCTGCCCCAGCTTCTCGACCATCACCCTCTGTGCAACCTCGTCAATCTTGAAAATAATGAACCGAAAGTTCCTCTTCGCCTTCAGTTCCAAGAACTTCAGCTTGCAGTCATCGTCTACCGCAATGCCCGATGCCGAATTCGCCTAGGCAACGTGACGACAGGAGCGAATCCAGAGTGTTTCAACAAGAAAAGGCACTATTAGAATAACTGTCAAACTTATTAAGTGTTTATTGCGCATGCACGATCTCTGTACTATTTGAGTCCGCCACTTATTGCCCCTAAATTTTTTTACTAGTATTTTTATTCGAACCCTAGAACACAGTTATCTAGTTGTTATTTTTATCCATCACTTGACTATTGACTATGACTATGACGCCAATGTATTGCAGAGAGATCTCCTGATATTTTAATGTTTTGCATAGCGACGTTCATTTCTTATTGGTGTCGGAATATACTCCATCTATAATAGAGTTCAGATAACAAGGAGAAAATACAGCTCTGAGATCAAGATCTAAGTAGCAATGCTAGCCACCCGCGCTCGTGGGGCTCACGCGCTGTGGCTGCGACACATGTCCCTAAAAGTTGTGGCCGCGACGTATGTCCCCTTAGGGACATGTGTTGCTCCTTCAGCGCGTGTGAGCCACACGCGCGCCCGTAGCTAGACCCCCTCAGATCTAAATGCTAATAAAAAAAAAGGAAGAGGTAAGAAGTTGCGCATCTCCTATTGTACAGAGGATACGTCTGTAACTGAACTTTTTATAATGAAATGTTATTACAGAACATGAGGGAATGTTTTACTGAAGAAAATAAACTCGTCATTGTAACTTGTTAGCATTCTCTAGTTAAAATTTTGTTTTTGTTACTTATTTCTTCGACGGTAAGAGGTACGTGAAATTTAAAATTTTACATAGTTGAAAATAAATCAAATTAAAATTCGAGCTTTGCGATATGGACAGAACATGTTAATAAAATAAAGAAAACATAAAGATTTAGCTAGGACATTTACTCGATCACAAACTACATATGATACATGTAACATAAACTTTTGCAACTACTAGAACTGAGCGAGCGAGGAACTAAAGCGAGAAATGAACTCACCATGATTAGTAATTGAATGAGGAGGAAAGAAAGGCTGGCTCTTCCAAGAAATGAGAAAAGGAGAAGGGAGGAGGAGATGTTTTCTTAAAGGAGATTGGTTTGGGGGAAGGGGAGGAATTTGAGGGGAAGAGAGGCGCGAAAATAGTTGGTTGTGGCCACGTTTGGGCCTTTTGGGCCTTTAGGACCGAGTCTTAAGGAGAGCTCATTGCTCGCTCGTTCGTCGTTACGCTTGAATACGTGGACGGTATTTAAACTTTTGTCTATTTATTTATTTGTTTATTACTTATTTCCTTGTTTTTTTAACTACATAATGAATAGTAAATAACCTTTTTAATGGCCTTCTTAAAAAAATATAGAAATATACATCTTATGGGCGCGAAAATATTATTCATGATTATAATATAACTAGTTTTTATGCACGTGCAATGCACGTTGTTAAATATTAAAATAATTTATTTTTTATTTTATTACTATAAATAAGTCAGATTTATTTTAATTATTAGATTTACTATAATTTTTATTTAAATATTATTAAAATTTTGATGTAATGGATTTTTATGCTAAACTGAGATCAATATACTTAACTGAGATATCATAATTGATTTTCGCAGAAAAAGATATCAGCTTACATAATAATATCTTTAAGCAGAATAGTAAAAGAAAATAAGTTAAATTAATACTACATATCATATTCTAAACTCTACTAATACCAAGTTATAGTATGGAGTCAATGATGAATAACAATATCATTATAAACTATAGTTCTAGTAATAAAAAAATAATATGTCTTATTACATTGAAAATAGAATTACACTGTACTTTTCAAATTATAAGCTCATATTTTATAATAAACAATCTCAAATGCAAACATAAAAAAAGAAGTATGATAAACATATATATATATATATATATATATATATATATATATATGAGATCTCAGCCTATATTATTTGATATACTTAAAATAAAAAAAGACAAAAACTAAAAATTAATGTTAACTATAGTATAATTTTATGTGATAAAAGCAATCACATAAGCATACAAAAATACTACAAATTTTGCATAAAAATTCCTTCTAAAAATTCCTAATTTTACTCAAAAATTAAGTTATAGTATAAAATGTTCAAAAAATATTATCATTTATTCTTTTTAGTTCATATTTTATTTGAGCCGAGATCAACCTTTCTCCACCTTTATCTTATTATTGGGGGATTCTAGAGTAGCGTCTTTATCATCTACATCAATTGTGATATCAAGTTAGAGTTGAATTTATTGAAATTGATCTCTTCAAATAATAAAGTCCAACACCAAATTAACCCAATTGTCTTATACTCCCCCCTCAAAAATCATAATCATAATCCTGAATTGGGTTTGTTCATAATAAAGAACAAAATACAATGTCAAGAGACAAAAAAGAAAAAAAGAAGGAATTGAATAAGAATCGCTAGGTTTGTACATGATAAAGAGAAAAGGACAATATAAGAGTCCAGAAATATATTAGGATGTACTTGGATCAATTAAATTATATTATTACTCATAATTGATATGCATAAGAGACAAAACGTGTTGACAACCTTAAATTATAAAACAAGTTGTATGTGCTCTCTAACATAATTTTTTAATGAAAGCAACCCACACGATTAATTTTGAAAATCTCTTAGTTTTGTGGAAGAGTTTGGGTGTAAATAACAAATATTAAATTATCTAACCTGATTAAAGTAGGATCATATAAGTTAACCCCATACATGAAATTTATTTTAACAAAAACCCATATATAAGTATTATAATTTGCATTGAGATCAAAGATATGTGTGATATTCTCTTTAACTTTTATACAAACAATATCTATTTAAATAATAATATAATAATTAAACTTTGTAATCTAAAAAGAAATCAAACATACAATATAATTAATTACTTTAAAATAATCCAATCTAATTTAATAAGAAGAAAATATATGAAAGTACTGTGAAAGTTGTTACAATTTTATAATTCTTAATTCTTAAACAATCTAATCTATTCTAATAAAAAGAAAATAACAAAGACACATACTTGTTGAAGGAGATAAAAGTACTGTGAAAATTATTGTAATTTCTTGATCTGAAAAAAGATCAAATATACAATATAATTAATTACTTTAAAATAATCTAATCTAATCTAATAACAAAGGCACATGCTTGTAGAAGGAGATAAAAGTGCTATAGAAATTATTGTAATTTCTTGGCTTATATATATTGATATATGATGTTGTCTGTGAGAGGATAATAATGATAAATAGAGTTCTATTTAAATAATAATAGTATAATTAAACTTTGAAACTAACTATGCAGTACTTTGAACTACTTTAATTTTAGTCAGTGAGAGATCGCCACTTTGTGTGTAATCATTAATCATATAACATGTGAATAATTATTTGCAGATTGGTATTATTAAATTATGTAGCATGTGAATAATTGTTTACAATTAGATCATTAATCATATATAAGAGCGAGGAGGTAAATTTGGTATTTAATAAATCATCTAATTAACCTAAGCATACCGTGAACTATTTGAATTTTAGTGAGTGGGAGATCGCCATGCTGTGTGTAATTATTAATCATATATCATGTGAATACTTGTTCTCAGTTTGACATTATTAATCATGTAGCACGTGAATAATTATTTGCAGTTTGATCATTGATCACATAAAAGAGTGAGGAGGGTAAATTTGGCATTTAATAAATCGTTTAATTTACCTAAGCTGCTCTTTCATTCAGGTTTATATTTTAATTTAAACTATATCCTTATCTTCATACTATGTATATCCAATAAGAATTCATCAATTTATCAACTTAATCTTACTTAATGAATTAGTATTTAAATTTCAAGGGTATTTTTGTCTACTAAAAGATTTTCTCAAACTCGTGCTTTTAAAGGGAGTATGATATTTTAGGCATTGAAGAAGCAGCACATTATATACATTGGTGATGTCTTTTGATCGTAAATAAGAATGATAATAGATAATATAAGGATATTTATCATATATGTAACCATACAATAATGTGTATCATATCATATCATATCATATCATATCATATATATACTCTCTTTAAAAGTACGAGTTTGGAAAAATCTTTTCATGGCCAATATTACCCTTATTTTTTTTGAATATTACATTGTTATCCTAATCTATTCTAATTATCCTTTACTTATTCTAAATATCATATCATATCATATATAATTTAAATTATTTACTTATTTCAGTTCGTAGAGAAATCTAAAAAACATATGCTAGCCAGCACTTAAAAGTTTTTGGACTTTGTATAAAAAATCCTCCAATTTTTTTAAATTATAAAAACACCCCTACAAATTTAAAATTTTATTAAATATCTTTAAAATTATAAATTTTACTTATTTTAATTCAGCGAGAAATCTAAAAAACATATGCTAGGTAGAAACTGAAAGTTTTTTGACTTTGGAAAAAAAAATCCTCCAAGTTTTTTAAATTACAAAAACACCCCTAATAATTTAAAATTTTATTAAACATCTTAAAAATTATAAATTTTACTTATTTTAATTTAGTAAATAATCAAAAAAAAAATATGCTAGGTAGAAACTGAAAGTTTTTTGACTTTGGAAAAAATATCTCGTAAGTTTTAAAAATTGTAAAAACACCCCTACAAATTTAAAATTAAGAAAAAATACATTAAAAATTTTAATCCTATAAACACACTAAAAACCTACAAATAACACAAACAACCCCTGAAATTTTATGAAATTTATAATAAACAACTTTTTATAAATTACAAAATAAAACCTTCAAAATTATAAAATTTACAAAAATCCTAATAATTTCTAACCTAACAATAAATTAAAAATATAGGAATTACAAATAGCCCCTACATAATTTATAATTATAAAAAACACCCTTAAAGTTTCAAAATTTATGAACAAACACTTAAAATTCAAATATTACAAAGAACACACCTTAAGAATTTCAAACTCATTAGTAAATTGAAAACAAAGGAATTATAAATAGTCTATAAACAATTTATAATTTGTATAAAAGGCATATAAAGTTAAAAAATTATAAAAAACCTCTAAAATTTATAATTTACAAAAAAACACCATGAGAATTTCTAACCTATAGACACTAAAATGAATATACAAAATTACTAACAACCCCTAAAAAATAAAATTTTACAAAAACTATCATGCCCCCTTTAAAGATATAGGTTTAGGAAAAAACTTTCATGGTCAATATTATCCATAACATTTTTGGAAAGAACATAACTAATTAAATATCAATTAAATTTGAAATTAGTAAAAAAACACCCTTAAATTTTAGTACATTGTAAATTACCCCACCAAAGTTTAAAATTTATTAATGATTGTTTATAATTTCTTGATTTCAATATAATATTTAATAGTTTTGTGTATTTATAAATTACAAAATTTTAGGATGTTTTTTAAAAATTTTAAAACTTTTGAGGGTGTTTCTTTTATAGTTTTCTAAATTTTCATTATGTTGTCAATGTAATGCATAGATACGTCAATTAACGATGATATTGAAGGGTAAGTCGTTCTTAAGATGTATTAGGCCACAAGTCACTATTCCTAGGTAGTATAATTTATATATGCAAAAAAATTTGGGCAGTCTATATACTGGTTAAAATGATTTTTGACTTTAATGTGCTATTTCTTATAAATTATATTTAATGTGAACCCACCATATAATTTTGACTATGGTCATCATAATTTTAATTTGTTTGTTTGATTGACTATATAGGTATATAGACCATAGATTACTTTATTTTCTCACATGAACTAATATTTAGCGCTTAATAATTTAAATTATTATTTTTAAATTTAATATAAAGAGTGTTATGGTGTTCCCATTTCGTTAATGTGCAACTCAGTGCCAAGCAACGAATAAGTGTACTTTTGCGTGCTATGCCCCAATTAACTTGGCGGCCAAAGACCAATAAGAACGACAACTCAGCCGACTTGTCGAGCCGATATCCTTTGTTATTAATTATTTATAAGCACATGAACTAATATATTTTGATGCGGCATAATTATGTACCAAAATT